TGGGGTATAGGGATCACACCAATGGAGCTTTCATACAGTCTAAATTGTTAAACTTTTTTGATTTAGTTGGATATAAGACTGCAGTGTTTATGTATAAAGCCAGGAGCAATTTATTACCTGGTGGAATTCAAAAACTATTTAATGAAAGGGAAGGGGGATACAATTTAAGGGGTCAGTTAAATTTAAAAATTCATGCTATACGTACAACCAAAAAAAGATTTTGTATTTCCATAAGTGGGGTAAAACTATGGAATAATTTAAGTGTGGACATAAAAATTAGTAATAGAATTGATCAATTTAAACATAAATATAAAGGTATGTGTCAATCAAGAACAGGCTCAATGATTAACTACATGGACTATTGTGGGTGTGGTGTATATCTTGTTACCATTCTGTAGTATATCACTTGTGTGTTGTAAGAATGTCAACACTTATCTTTTTTTAGTACAATATGTGTGTGGGTAGAAGTGAATCATTTACTGCTTGCAAACCAATGATGGTAAGATGATGTCATGGGGTAGGACTGGATAAGTCTGACTTCTTCCTACTCCATTCAAACATGTACTAGGTATAAGCAAATTGATATTGGATTATGTGTACAATCACGTGTGTTGTCATATCAACTGTCTTTACATGCTTGAAAGAATAAATCAAATCAAATCAAATCAATTAAATGTTCTACTGTCACACTGTAAACATACTCTGTTACAAGTAAAAGTCACATTTAAAATGTTAAGTTAAAGTAGTCACAAAAATGTACTTAAAGTATTAAAAGTACAAGCAGGCTGGTCAGTGCAGAAAAACGTTATAGCATATATGGTAAACTATTGTACTAATACAGTTGTAGTCGCAATTATTCAACCATCATTGCAAATTAGGTGTACTGGAAAAGTGTACAAACTTTCAGCTGTTTGCAGGAACAACTGAAATAGCTCAAAACAACAAACATAGCAAGTGGTTTCTCCAATATCAACACAAAATGCAACTTTTAATGACTTCTGCAGTCTCAAAATTATTGAACTCCTTCATGACAAGCGTCCTTAGTAGAGCACCCTTTTTCTGCTATGACCTGCTGCAAACGTGATGCATAGCCAGACACCAGCTTCTGGTAGTGTTCCTGAGGAATCTTAGCCCATTCCTCATGGGCAATGGCCTCCAGTTCACTAATATTCTTGGGTTTGTGTGCTACAACGGGCATCTTCAAATCCCACCAGAGATTTTCTATGGTGTTCAAGTCAGGTGACTGTGATGGCCACTGTAGAATTTTCCAGGACCTCTTCTGCAACCAAGCCTTGGAGGACTTTGAGGTATGCTTGGGATCATTGTCCTGTTGGAAGGTTCAACGATGGCCAAGCTTCAGCTTCCTCACAGATGGCATGACCTTTTCTCCTAGGATTTCCTGATACCTGAATGAATCCATCTTGCCTTTCGCACGCTGCAGGTTCCCAGTGCCAGAGGAAGCAAAGCAGCCCAGAGCATCACTGAGCCACCACCATGAGTCACTGTAGGCAGGGTGTTCTTTTAAAGAGCCCATGGCATGCTTGTTTTCTGACCTATCTACAATGTAACAACGGTGAATTATCATCTTAGACATGACCTAAAGATCAAAAAATGAGGTGTACATAGGTTTTAGTATTTCTATGCAGAAGTAATGTGTTAAAGGATCTCCCTGAATGGGCATAAAATCCAGGCTGTTGCGCGTTCATGTGAGGTTGCCTGACATCCACTGCTGCCTCCACTATATTGGCAAAATGTTATACTGCCTTGTTTGTTATGTATATTTTCAATAAAACTTGAGTGGGAATGTTCCTGTACAGAGACTTACTGTTTTACCTGACCGGATCTAACCTACAATCAGCCAGTCAGTGAAGCCCCCCATGCTGATGAATGATCAGCTCATCAACACTGGAGTCCTCCAGAGCACAGTACCTGTTTGTTTTGCCTGCTGGAGGCCAGTGTGTCTGCTGCATGTGACGTGTTGCTGGTTAACAACTGGATTAACAATCCATGTTGGTGCTACACTACCTATTGGAATTAATTTCACTACTTTGGGACTGTATGTGGTTCCTGTCGGGGGAAGACACAGTAATCACCGGTTGGATACATAACACAAAATTGTATAAGTAAACATCGGCAGCAGGAGTTGTGCGTGTTCACGAACTATGCTCTCGTTTTTAAGAAGAGGCTTTTTGGCTCTCTGATTCTGAAACAATTACAAACTATTTGGAGTTATGAGGGGTGCCATGGTAATCTAGAACCTAAGATTAAACATAAAATGGCTGGATGAGCATGACACGGGCTCTTTAAAGTATGGTACCTTTTGGATACATACATGAGCACACACACATATTGATTCACGATATGAATGAAAATATTCATATACTATACATGCATGGCTGTGTATGTATACGTATGACAGTGTGCATATATATGTACACAAGTATGTGCATATGTGCATATCTGTATGCATGTATATGCATGACAGTATGTATACAGACTCAAGTTTTTCGTACCAGTATTTATACATGTGCAAGTGAAGTATTCATTTACACCTATATAGCTTCTAGTAGTTAAGGTCACAATCATATCACAATCAAATTTAATAATCCCTTTGTCTCTTTTGTTAATGTTTGTTGTCTTATCTTCTGTGTTATGTCATTTGTCCTGTAAATGTGTTGTTCATGTTGCAAAAATAAAAGCAAGGTCACAATCACATACAGATGTATCGGCCTATGCCATAGATTAATGTTAAACATGGTTATTTAAGTGACTGTAATATAACTGAAAATGAACCTCTTGTTTATTGGTGGTATTGGTTTTAATGGCTTGGCCCAAGTTACACAAAAGAATTACAATAGAAGGTCACATTACTAATTATGTACGGAAACAAACTGGAAGGTCATACAGGTGTTTGTAACCCGATCATGACAACCTACACTCCAACAAGGGCTCAAAGTATTCTCTGTTAGGACAAACCTAAGTGCACGCTCTAACAAACAACACAACTTAAATATTACGAAGAAAAAGTCACCACAGAAGTTCTTCATTCCAATTTCAGGCAAAAATGTAATCTTGATCTTCACCTGACATGGGCAGCCATTGCCACTGTCGATCCATACTCAGAAATTCCCATGAGGCCAGTGTACTGTTCCACCAGAGACAGACGCCAAAGAGCATGCTTTTTGGCTGGATAATGAAACTCACCATTCTGGGGCAACCTATAGGTTGCTCTCCGTGCCAAGGGCCCACACTTTCGCCAGGCCGCTCTGCAGGAAAACATCGCCACTCTCCGTGTGCTACAAAGGGGGAAGGCTGCAGTTTCAACAAGTACTGGAGCAATGTCTGGTCAGAGACACATGCGAGGATGCGAAGGAGCAGCCTGCCCTCTGTTGCGCAATATGTGTTGCGCTCCACCATGGCTATGAGGGGTGGTTAATGCCACAGAGCCAAGATTACATGTGTAAGGCGTGGTTAGACGGGTTTAACACACACGCGTGTATATATACTGTGTACACATATATGTCTGAAATTGATGGAGGGTGTACAGGGATCAAATTAACTGAATCAACGGTATCTAGTGCTTTTATCCTGAAAGTACTGGGCACCTACACCTGTATGTTGCTACATGCTGTCATAGTTCTTGCTTTTAATTGACATTTAATGTTTCAATCTAATTTGCAGTCTAATGTTTATGTATATTTATTTTGATGTTTTATCTATCTGTGTGCATAGTGTTAAGCATTTTGAATTGGCTTTGTGTATGAAAATGTGCTCTCTAAATAGCCTTGGCTTGACCAGTGTCAGAAACTGCAAGTGGAATCTGTGGCTGGAACTTGTCACTGAAGATGGTGGTTGGAGCGTTAGCAATTATAATCGAATGATATAAAATAAATCGATGTGAAATGTGTTAATCTGCATAATGAGCACTTTTATTCTTGGTACTTTAAAGATATTTTGATGCAAATACTTTTGTACTTTGACTTAAGTACATTTTGAATGCAATGCAGGACCATCACTTGGAAAAGAGTATTTTTACACTGTGGTATTGGTACTTGAGTAAAGAATCTGAGTACTTCATCCACCACTGTACAAATATAAGACAGACTTTGCTCTGTGTACTTCATAAATTTTCATTAGTGTCATCCAGGGAGCTCAGTGAAGAAGCCGGGATGTTACACTGTGTAGCTCACTGTCCATCTACAGAGCTTCAAATCAAATGTATTGTGTTTGGTTACTACAGCACAAAATAGTAATTCACTACAATAAAATAGCAGCTGTGCACAATTGTAACCACTTTCAAATAAACCACATCAGTAAATTATGTTTCAAAAATTGTATTTATATAATTCATGTTTAGAAGTGTACTAATGAGGCAACAACATTTTGAAACAAGTTAATTTGATGAGTTAAAGGTTTAAGGTTTTGAAGACATTCACTGTTGTTGGAACCCTAACACTGGATTGGTTTGTTGCTGCAACTGAGTCTTTCACATTAAAACCAAGGAGCTGTAGGAGCTGTAGGTGGAGCCTGGACAGCTGCTGCTGTCTGCCAGAATCTGCAAGTGAAGGCAGAGCCTGCAGGGTGTTGACAGAGACTGAACGCGGAAGCTGGGAATGCAGCTGCCAACTAGACCTTGCAGGTGGAGGCTGAGCATGTCAGCTGCTGGCAGAGGCTGTATGTGGAGGCTGGGGATGTAACTGTCTGTCAGAATCTGCAGGTGGAGACGGAGCCAGCAGGGTGGTGGAAAGGGCTGTAGGCAGAGGCTGGGGCTGCAGCTATCGGCCAGATTCTGCAGGTGGAGGCGGACCATGCAGGCTGCAGGCAGAGGCTAGGGCTGCAGCTCTGTATCAGGGGCTGTAGGTGGAGACTGGGGCTGCAGTGTCCTGGCAGAGGCTGGGGCTGCAGTGTTCAGGCAAAGGCTGCAGGCAGGGGCTATCTGCCAGACCCTGCAGGTGGAGGCAGAGCATGCAGAGTGCTAGCAGAGGCTGCAGGCAGAGGCTAAGGCTGGCGCTCCGGTTCAGGGGGCGGAGGTTGTATTTTGCTGGAATACTATGTGGCTACAGATTGTCTGTGGTATCCTGAATAAACATAATATATGCTAATAATATGCAATATGTGGGCAGTGAAAATGTGTTCTGATATATGTTCTTGACAGGGCAATGAGTCTGAGCTTGAAAAAATAATTAATCGTATCATTTTTCTTCCAATGAAAAATGAAAACGGGTCCTGAACACAAGATGAGGGTTAAACGCATATTTCAACGTCCAGTGCTGTGACACTGTGACACTGACTCACAACACCTCTTGTTCCTTGTATCAGTCGTGATTTCCACTTCTGAATCATGTGAACCAGGGATGGGGAGAGTTCAGGACCTGTTAGCACTGTGTCAGTCAACTCTGAGGGCTCTGAAAGTCAGAAACACATGGAAAACACCACAGCTTTTCAAAGTGTTTAAACCTTACATTTTCCATGGTGAAAGTGGTCTTTGTCGCTTTTGTCTGTGTCTGTTGGTCTTTAGTCCTCGTCAGGATTGAAGAAGTCCTCAGTAGAAGCGACAGTTTTCAGAAAATCGTCGAGTGAAACGGGAGAAAAGTTTTCTCGACCGTTAGAGGTTTTCTCTATGTTTAAATGATGATCTGATATAAATGATGTACCTGGAGACAAACACAGCAACCACAAAATCCTTGACCTCCATTTTGTCCACATCTTTAGTGATACTTTTGATCAACCAGTGGTTTGTTATTATTATGATTTTTGCTTTCTTATATTCTGGGGTAAATTGTGTTTGAGTGAAAATGAGAGGGTAAGAAAATAAAGAATACCCCGTGATCAGCTTGTTATAAACGAGCCTGTAAATGATCCTCATGTCAAGAGCCTGCAGACAATCGCCCCCATAAGATGTTCATACAAACTAACACAACACAATATGACTGAAAACACAGTCAGAGCTAAACATTCCTTCATAGTTAGATATAGACCTGACCTCAGAGCTTTTGGAGTCCGACATGGATGAAACTTTAGCTTACATCTGTGGCTGTAAAGGATTTAAAGGCCGTCTCTGCGCACAGGAGGACATCTGAACGACAAGTCTGCAACTCAGCACAGCCACATAAACATTGTGTCATTAACTAATAATTAATTAATGCAATTTTCAGAGATGTGAACATCTCCAAAAAACGACACAACACCGGATCCGTGTTTTGGGTTTTGTCTCTTTCGTTTTCTCACATCTATTACAGACTTAATTGCCCGTCACATTGCGATGACTGCAGTGTGCGCTAACATTAGTGAGTCTCGCCATACGTTTTTGCAGGCTATACTATATATGTATATATATATATATATATATATATATATACATACATATGTATATATGTGCTGGCGTTGTGCGTATTTTACGCACATGGCACAGCTGCGGTAACATCATTGATTAGTCTATAAATGTCCTAACATTGCAACAGATCAGTGATTTCCTATCGATACCGACCTCAGGTGCTTTCTACATGTGAGACAGGTGTGCTATGTTACAGGCAGATTCCAGGTGTTGTAAACAGGTGGTGCACAGCAGCAGTCTTCAGGGTGAGCCCAGCTCCGTGGGGACGGTACAGTCAGTGTAGCTGATGTGTCATTGTACAGAAAGGCCGATAATTTCACGCACACAAGAATTTCAGTGTTTCATCAAACAGACACTGAAATAAAAATTCTAATAAAATGTTATGGCATACCAGTATTTTACACTTGCTTTGGCTTAGGCATCACACCAGTTCCAATGCTCAGCCTGCTGAGCTTTCATACATAAGTGAAAACTCAGTCAACAATTGGTTATTACTCTGTGTACAAATCACTGAATCAGTGCAATGCCAGGTCAAAGCAGGAAATGCCATTTTGTACCTTCACATATTATATTATATTACATTGCAGTAGGAGGGTGTGTTCACTGCAGGACCTGTTGGCACTGTGTCAGCAAACTGGAGGTTCTTAAAGTGCGATGGTAAAACATAAACAGACACAACAGACTTGCAAAGTCTTCAAATCTCACATGTTCCATGGTGGATGTCAGTTGTGTCACTTTTGTCAGTGTCAGGATGGAAGATAGTGTATTTCTGTGGTAGGTCTCAGGCTACTGGACTTGCTGTACATTCCTGATGTCTGAAGAAGCTTTGAATTGAAGCAAACTGTCTTCATCGAATCTACAAAAAGTTCAAGAAACCTTTGCTTTTATTTAACCCTCTTTCTGTATTTTTTAACTAAGCCATTATACAAACATCGGTGATTTTGGTCTTTTTATGAGATTTGTTGAGACTAAAAAAATAAAATGAATGTGATATGTATCTTTAATGCATCAGTTCAATATCACGTACAGGACTAGAAAAGTGTGCAGTTTTACAACAAAAGCAATAATATGGTTGAGGTCTTGATAAAATGCAGGGAGGTGATAAAAACAGACAGTAAATGTTTTTAATGTTCCTATAGGGGTATATAATATCCTCAGTGGTGTGAATGTGTCACATTATTCTCTAATAATTTAGCAGGACCTTTTGGTACAGTGTCTGCTGTTTGATTTCCTTTAAGGATACTATATGGCTATAAATACATAGCTATTTATTGTCTCCTCTAAAAATCTGTTTTTGCATGATTTGATTGTAATAACTTGTTTACAGTATAGATTCACAAGGCTTTTGTGTCCCTGATTTTCCTCTCTCTGCCTTGCACCATTTTTTGTCATTATACCGTGTCTACCTTTTCCCACGCCTTCCTTTATTATCCTCTGACTCCAGTGTTCCCTCTTCGTGTCTCTTTCTCTCTCCCCCTGACACTTTGTTAAAAGCACACTTCAAACCAGACCAAGCCTTCTGACCATGGAAGTTTGCACTTGTGTGTGTGTGCATGTGTGTGTTTCCAGTAAATAGTAAATGAAGGTACATCATTAACACCTTTATTCACTGTGGAGCTATTTGTGTTGGTGTCAGGAGTTGTGTTTTCACCAGTTTCACTTTGTAATTTCTTCCAAATGATCATACTGTGTGTGTATGTATGTATGTATATATATATGTATGTGTGTGTGTGTGTGTTTTATTTTTTTGTAAAAGCTGGCAAACATGCACTATGTATTTCTGACATTTGGTTCTTTAGTAAACAAGTATAAGTCAAACATTTTAATACATAACAATGACCGCAACTGTATGTGAACAAAATGATCAGGACTCATGCCTATTTCACATAATACATTTTTATTTGACACAGAACACAGAGCAAGGAATCAGGACCAGTGGCAGAAACAAGCTGAGAAACTGGCGCATCCTATAGCCAGAACCTGATGGGCCCCTGCACAGGACAAGAACATAGTATCATTCATTTTATCTGTTCACCCATTTATATATTTCAAGCTATATCTTTACACTGAATGACAGAATATCAATAACACTATATTGCAGTATATAGTGGCTTCAGAAAGTATTGAGACCCTTTATAGTTTTCCACATTTTAGGAAAACCAGGCACTGAGCATCACCTCACTAATACCATCCCTACAGTCAAACACAGTGGTAGTGGCAGCATCAGGCTGTGGGGAGGTTTTTCTGTGGATGGGACTCAGAGTCAGGATAGAGGGAATGATAGATATAGATAAATATAAAGCAATTCTGAGGGAAAACCTTCAGAGTTCTCAGCATCTCAGGCTCGCAGGTTTACATTTCAACAAGACAATGAACCAAAGCACATTGCCAAGAAAACACAGGAGTGGCTTCATGAAAACTCTGTCCAAGTCCTGGAGCGGCCCAGTCAGAGTCGAGACCTGACCCCAATAGAACATCTCTGGAGGTACCTGAAAATGGGTGTTGCTCCAACATCCCCATCCATCCTGGCTGACCTTGAAGGATTCTAGCAAGAAAAATGAAAGAAATGTCCAAAACAAAAGGTACCAAGCTTGAGGCTGCCTTTAACCAAGTACTAAGTGAAAGGTCTAAATACTTACACTCATGGCCAAAAGTATTGGCTCCCCTGCATTTATGTCAGATAACACACCATTTCTCCCAGAAAATTATTGCAATCACAAATTCTTTGCTATTATAATGTTTATTTCTTTTATTTGCATTGGAACAACACAAAAAGCTTTTTCAAACTCACCAGAAATACATTTCCACACAGAACTCCAAACATGGACTGTACAGACTTATTGACATCCTCAACTTAATGACTCACAAAATAACTGAAATCAATTGCTTCCTGTAACCATCAGTAAGTTGACTCAGCTTTTGTGTCATGTGGACCACACTGAGCACGAAGAAAAGAAAGAAGAGCAAAGAATTGTCTGAGGATCTGAGAACCACAATAGTGGAAACGCCTGGACAATCTCAAGGCTCCAAGTCCATCTCCAGAGATCTGGTTGTTCCTGTGTCCACTGTGCACAACATTGTCAAGAAGCTTAAAGTGCACTGGCGCTGTAGCAAATCTCCCTGGATAAACAATTCAAGATGACCTGCTGTGTCAGCTCACGCTATCCATCGCCATCTGGATGACAAGGGACAGTATGGTAGGAGACCCAGGGGGACCCTGCTGCTGACAAAAGCAGGATTAGATTTGACCAAACCTGACGGGAGAAAGCCACAACCCTTCTGGGAGAATATCCTGTGGACAGATGAGACTAAAATAGAGTTTTTGGGATTGAGCACATCATTCTACTGTTTTCAGAAAATGAAATGAGGTCTTCAAAGAAAAGAATACGGTCTCCACAGTCAAACACAGTGGAGGTTCACTGATGTTTTGGGGTTGCTTTGCTGCTTCAGGCACCGGATGTCCTCGCTGTTTTTATGGCTTTATGAAATCTGAAGACTGCCAATGAATTCTGGGACCCAGTGTCAGAAAGTTGGGTCTCCGTCAGAGGTCGTGGGTCTTACGGCAGGGCAGGGAA